CAGCAGGAAAGATTACACTTAATTGCATTTTTGATCCACTAATTTATCAATTTTGCAAATTTCATGACCTATCTTTTTTCAACCTCCAACTAATTTAATTGTACAATTTCAGTTCAGCTGCTAAATTAACATCTAATATTTAACAAAAAAAAGCCAATATGATAACCTAAAGCACTGCCACATCAGCATATCCATGCTAACATAACATTCTACTACACTATCATTTCAGTTAAGTATCCGTTGACAAGTTCTTTTCATTAGTAGGAAAGATTACACTTAATTGCATTATTGTCCCCTAATTTGTCAAATTTGCAAATTTCATCTCCTAATTTTTTTTCGTGAATTCATCCTCCAACTGTTTTAGTTGTACAATTTCAGTTCAGCCGCTAATTTAACATCTAATAATTAACAAAAAAATGCTGATTTGATAATCTCACACATTGCCACATCAGCATATCCATGCTACATGACAATTTACAAGGACGAAAAATCAAACTTTAATCTTCATGCATCTACTCCAGCCCTACCCATTAGGTCAATCTTAGTGGGTTGTTAAGTTTATGTGCACACAATTAAAATATAGAATAAAAAAATAAAAGGAGTAAATTCAAAAAAAAAATTGAGAAAATAGAGGACCAAGGAAACCAAAGAATACTATGTTCAAGTGGCGTGCTCACCTGTGGAAACAAACCTGAATTCTGCTATGCAACTTCTCCGGAATCGAAACAGACGGAGCCAAAGTAACATGCAACGCATTAGCGTAGCTCCCAAGTTTGAGCCTGGATTTACCCGAAACTCGAACACGCTCACATCGTAAAGTGTCCTTAGCACCTTGAGAATCCGAGTGCCCTAAAAGCACGGAAGGGGTGACCTCCACAACCGGGTTTTCAATACCAACACCTGCACAGTAACAACAACCAGTGAGAACAGACATTTGAAAAATCAAGCCAAGAAACAATTCAGAAAAATCCTAGGTTTAGCAGTGAGATTCAAAAAGGGGGAGAAGAAACCCTAGGAATCATTAATAAGTGGAGAGGCATTGGTATTGAGTGGGAAGGAGGGGCTCTTACCTTTGAGTGTGAGAGGGTCATGGGGATTGGAGAGTGACGAAGAGAAGAAGAAGAAGAAGAAGAAAAAGAAGAGAAGAAGAAGGGAAGAGGGGAACGATCCCATGAATGAGTATGGGATGAGAGCCTCGAAATTGCGCTCTTTGCCTTCAATTCGATTTTTCTTCCTTTTGCTGCTGCCAGTGTAACAACTAAGGGCACAATTTGATTTGGGTGTATTTATATGTTATTATGTTTATTTATTTTATTTTTATTTTTCACAGCGTTGCGTCGTTTCAAGGCAACTATGTTTTTCTTTTACGCGGGGAATTGAATTTCGTAAAGCGTATACGGTACGGTACATACATGATACACACACCGCCCGTATCCTTTATACTCGTTTCAATGTTATTGTATTTGTCCATAATTAGTAAATTACTGTAATGCCAGAATTGCTGCAGATAATTAGTAAAATAATTAATATTATATTGAAATATATTATTTTACTTTTTAAGTACTTAAAAATAAGAATTTTGATTTTGGTTCTAATATTTCTATCTTATTTTTCAACCCTCTAAAATATTATTTATTTTTAGCCGTTGTAAAATATTATAAATAAATCTTAGCAGTTTGTATTTGGTTTTTATTCTTCTAGAATATGAGGAATCACTAATTTTTTCTTTTTACATACATGTAATGTTTATAAAAAGTAATAAAAATATTTTAAATTATTGTTATTGTCAAAACCCTTTTTTTTTAATTATTTTATTAGATTTATTTAAGATAAATTATATATGTTACAATATAATGATTGAATAAATTACCATTAAATAAAACTTAAAATTATTTTATTATTAAATCTTAATTAATAGATTTGTAGTCCAAAAAGTTAGGATAATAAAATAAATTTGATGAATTATATTATAATGTCTCAAACATAACCAACAAGCTCTGACATGGTTGTAAATAATTTTGTTCCTTAATTATGTAGTCATGAATTTGTGTTTTTTTGTTAATATGTATGAAAAAAAATATTTGTTGGGAGATGTTAATCTCTTTAATAAATATCAGTACCTCAAAAAGTTAGTCTTTAGCTTTTAGCTAAGGAAACCTTAGTTTACCAAAAATGAAGATGACTCAAAATTTCTTAAGGTCTCAAATTTCCTAAATATGATTGTGCACACAATGAAACCCTCAAAAAAAAAAAAAATATATATATATATATATATATAATAATTTTAATAATATGTCAAGTGTATAGGTTGTATTGAGTTGAGTGTCGCAACCCGAAAATTTCCGATCTTGCGACCTATGGTTTAGATATCCTTTCAAAAATCACATCAATTAAAAGTGACATTGAGTAAGTGTTGATGTTTACACTTAACAATGCCATTTTGTTGTGGGGTTTCAATGCAAGATGTTTGATGAATAATTCATTTTAAATGAAAGAGTTCATGCATGGAAAATTCATTGCCATTGTCCGTACGGATGATTCTGACGTGTGTATCAAATTGATTCTCAACAAGATTGATGAAATTCTAGTGATATGTGTACATGTTTCACTTTTATTACACATCAAATAAACCCAAGTGTAGCATGTGTGATCATCAACAATAGTGAGAAAATAACGATGTCCATTCATGGAAAGCATGGAATATGGTCCCCATATGTCCATGTGAATGAATGCAAAAGGTTGTGTGGCATGTGAGTTGCTAAGAGGAAAAGGTAATTTTCGTTGTTTAGCATAGTGACAGGTATTGCAAACAAAATTTTTATTGTTGTTCAAACATGAATATTGTTGTTGCATAATATGCATACGTTCACTAGATAGGTGCCCAAGGCGAAAATGCCATAGATCAATAGGGATTACATTGCATTTGGGATGTATAATAGTGGAGTTTATACTATGAGGTTGGAGATGAGCGGGTATAAGCTGGTATAATCCATCTCTCATATCAACTGAACCAATCGTCATCCGTGTGTTCGCGTCCTGAATAAGACAATGGGTAGCAGTGAATATTAGTTGATAAGGAGTGGAAGAAACAAGTTTAGAGATAGAGACCAAATTAAACGTAAAAGAAGGAATATAAAGAACATTTGTCAGTTGAAAAAGAGAAGAAAATTTGACAACACCAGAGTGCGTTGCTGCTACCCGTTTTCCATTTGGGAGTTTAACAATAATGGGATCAATGGAATGAAAAGAATGAAAATATTACAGAGAAGATGACACATGATCTGTTGCCCCTGAATCAAGAATCCAAGGAACAATTTTATGTGTGTGTGTAGTGCAGATGAGAGAGCCAAATTTACCTGATATAGGAGGTGAGTGTGTGGAACAAGAAGAGATGGAACTAATATGAGCTACATTCGATGCTGAATTCACATTTGGTGCAAAAAAAAAAAAAATATATATATATATATATATATAATAATTTTAATAATATGTCAAGTGTATAGGTTGTATTGAGTTGAGTGTCGCAACCCGAAAATTTCCGATCTTGCGACCTATGGTTTAGATATCCTTTCAAAAATCACATCAATTAAGGAATGTCCGGACATCAGACTAATCCTTAATTAATGATTTTGTCCTTTAAAATCCTAATCCAATACACCCCCCTTAGTCTTAGTATTTATCTAAATTCAGTTAATTAATTTAAAATTATAAAATATATAATTTTTTAAAATTCTAATTATTATAAAAACATTTTAAAGAAAATATATAAATAATAATTATTTAATAATTAGTATTTTAATTAATAATGTACTTTAAGTTTACATGTTAAATATATATATAAGATAATATGTTGAATACAAAATTTATATAATATCTATTACATAAATTAATTTATATTATTATATGTAATATTTAACATATTTTATATATAAAAAGAGAGAATCTGTCTTATCTTGTTATTTCCTAATTTAGCTCCTTTGTAATACAAAAAAATATATATTAGACTAATAAGATACATTAAGATTATCATATCCTTTATTGCTACAACAAACAACAAATTATAATTGTATTTGTATCATATCATATTAAGCCCACCAAATGAGTCATTCATTTTTTTTATTTTAGTTGATAATTTTCTTTGGGTGATATCATTTACATGAAACACTTCTTGATGCATCATCTCGCTCAAATGGATAGTTTTAATTAATTATTATAGAGTAAAATGAGAACATTTTTTATTAGTAAAATTAATTTAATTTTTTGTTCTTATTTAAATTTCTAACAACAATATTTTTTAACTAAACTATAATATATATATATATATATATATATATATATATAAGTATTTCTAATTTTATATATAATATAATATATATATATATATATATATATATATATATATATATAAGGTAAATATAGTGAGAAAATATCATTCCTGCATAACCATACTAAAACTTGTCTACTGAGGTATAGATAATGCATACCAAGTGTGATATTGGTAATACAAGTCCAAAGTACAATATGAAATACAATCTTCTATGTATTAATCTATATATGAAAGATATATAAAATCATCAAAAAGAACTCTGATGAGATTGAGTGTGATGGAAGAGGTTAGTCTCTCACAACGTAGTGAATTAAAATTTAAAATCTCACTAGAAAAATACATTTAATATATGATTATGCCTGAAAAACAATTAGGAGCATCAAATCTTTTTTTTGTCTAAACCCCTCTCAATATCACTTTTACAAAAATAATTTCACTTTTAATGAAAATCTTGTTGACCTCAATTTTTATCATACAATTCAATTCATATAATTTTTTAATCCTTAATTTGTTTGAGCTCAAAATAGAAACTTGCATTTTTTTTTCAAAAACCAGTATATAAAATTATTAAGAAAAATATAATAAAATATCATTGGGTACTTTATTATTTTAAGCTCAAATTATTGATGGAAGTAAGATGTGAAAAACTGTTTTTTTTTGCTATACATATTTTAGTAATTGTTTAAAGATAAAAAATGAATTAAAATATGTTCATATATTTTAAAATATATGGAAAGATAATGCTTCAAAAAACCTTGCATTGCAGCATATTCTATGAGGAGTCATTCTTAAACATGTAAACAAATTGAAACTATCGAATAGATTCATTAATTATACATTAGCGTGAAACGTAAGCTTTTATATCGCGTTTGTTGTTAGAGGATTACGGGTGCTTGGTAGGTTGTATTTGTGGTTTGTCAGCATTATATCACATTTTAAAGTTCATGCAGTGTTGTACTATTTTTAATTTTTGGTTGATATAACTAGATAGTATATTTCTCTGTTGACAAATCGACCCATTTAAAAACAAAGTAACATCTCACAACTTCATACTAAAACCATGATCAAACTGTTAATCCTTCACTAATAAACACAAAATGTCAAATCACTTAAGTTTTGAATCAAAATATGATGGACTTGAGTGAATTATTGTGTTCATGTTTTTAAAATGATTTTTTAACAATTTTTGAGCATTTAATTTAACTCAAATTTCAACTGTATATTAAATTGCATGTATCTGAATTGGTCGTAGAACTTATTGGAATAATAATGACATAATAATTCTCCCTTGGCTGTCTGGAAGAGGTGGAGGTACTTGTGCCTCGTAGCCTCTTCCCCTAAATTATGTTCGAGAGCACATAGGTTCCACAATAATGAAGGCACAAATTTGCATAAAATGACCCTAACTTTGCATGAAAAGCTTGAATTAAGTAATAAAAAATCGGAAAAGTTTACAATTAAAAGCCTTATGTTTTAAGTTTCAATGGAACAAACTACTTGCGATCCTGATTTGTTGAGATTATTAGCAAGGTTATATAGGCTCTGTCAGAAAAACCGGTACTGCAAAAATGAATCAAAATTTTAACATGATTAAAAACCGGTACTTAAGATGTGATTTGGAATCTGATGCATGTTAAAAAAAGGCTTATATGTCAACCTTCCACATTAACATGAATCAAAATTTTAATTGAGACGCAGCCTTATCCGTCTTCAAATCAAGCATACTCAACAATTCAAGTAGTAAGAGAATACCCGTAAATAAAGTTGTCCAAAATTTGAATCTTAACCTTAAGTTTGGAATACACTCTTGGAAGAAAAATATCAACCTTATATAGGCTCATGATCTTTGGCAATAAATACTTCAAAGTTCGTACCACTACTAATAAAATGTTAAAAAAAATAGGAAATAGCAAAAGACGGGGAGAATAGCAGTAGCAGCTTTGGCATTCG